TGAACGTTTGAATTTAAATGTTTGAATTCGAATTTGAATTGGCTATGAAAAGTTGTTTCATAACAAAAGGATAAGATAAGATCTTGTTGGAACAAATCCCTAGGATCAAGAGGAGATCTTTGATCACATCCAAGGCTGAATTTGGGGCGCCACTTTGGTTGTTGTGAGTGTCATCTTGTCAACCAAATAAGCTCCAAATCAGATTTGGTTTGTTGAGAGAATCAGTGAGCTAGTTGGTTCAAATTTGAATGCAACTGCACAACGTATCTGGACTGTTTTTGGGGCTGAATTGGGCGCACCTTATGGCTTGCCATATGATGGTTGTTAAGTCAGATTTTTGTTAAGATATTGACTTGATATCATGAGGATATGATAGGAGGTTGTTGGCAAGATTTGATTTTGCAACAACTCCATTTTTCCTCTCTATTGGGCGCTACTTATGGTCAGATTTTTAGAGAAAAATCTGATCCAATTTTGATAGTTCTCTCATCTCCTTTGGTCATCCTTTTATTGGGGTTTTTCTTAAGAGGTTTTGAAAAATAACCTAGCCATAGATCATCAAATTCATGCACCACTTTTGTGAATTTTTAAGCTGAAAAATTTCACTCTTCTAAACACCTTTACCTAGCCTCCTCCTTCACACATTGGACGCCTAGCAAGCTTTTGTGGTGATCAATTGGTGGCTTTTCAAGAAGAGTTCTTGCATCTTGACGTGGGGTGGTGTGGATCAACGTTAGAGGGTTTGAACCCTTCAAACCTGACACTGATCTCCTTGGTGTTTAAATCACAAACAAAGGTAACATCATGTTGTCTTAAAGCATGAGTCTTGATTGCATGTGTGATTTCGCATGAAATTTTTTGTTTTTCCTTCTCATATGCTTCGTCCTTCAAGGTCATTTAACTTTCAGTTTCAAGTCTTTAGGCTTCTTACAAAGCCTCAAGCCCTTAATCACATGATTCTGACTTAACTTAATCATTACAGAAGTTCAACTTCCACAATCTAGGGTCCACTAACCCCTAACTCAATTCTGTATGAACAATACCGTTACTGTTCTCGGAAACCCAGAATATCCGGATATATGTCGGGGGCATATCCGGATATCACATATCCGGATATCATATCTGGATATCCATATCCGGATATCCATATCCGAATATTTCACGACAGAATACAGTTCTGCATTTCGCGAGATATCCTTCCCAAAGATAGTTCTTTTCATGCATACAGAGGCTCAAACATGCGATTTTAGGTGTGTTTAACATTACCCAACCTTAGGTTATGATCAAAGGTTCATTACATGCATCAAGGTTCCATTTTTAAGCATTAAACTCAAGATCATGGTTGGTACAACTTACCCAAGCTTGGAACTCAGCAAAAGAAGGCTCTTGGAGCTCACAACTTAGTCCATCTATTCTGACTTCTCAAGAAAACGAAAATGGCAAGCAAGACTTGGTTTTTTCTTCACAAAGATAGCACTTGGAGCTTCAACAACCAAGAACAAGGCTCCAACACAACCACCTACTAACTCAGCCCCACACTTTCACACAAGGCAGCACTCTCAACTCAGAAGAAGGCCAACAACACAGCCTCAAAGCTAACTCTCACCCACACCAAGTGTTTAGGAGAATAATTCATGAAGGAAGTGGCCTCAAAGCTCAAGAAATGGAGGAGGAAAGCAATGTAACAGTGCAAAGTGTGCACTTCAGCCGCCCAAGCACGTAGGAAATATGTTATGGCCTAGGGTTTTGGGTCAACTAATGTATTTATAGTGTTTTAAGCCTTAAGCACACAGTATTAGCGCTAATTGCTACGCTTAGCATTTCAATCCCAAACTTTGAAATCTGAACCTACTCATTTTTCTAGGATTTATCATATTTTTATTTTATTTTTTGCAGCACCTTTCCGGTACGCGCTTTCCATAGCCAATATCAGATTCTGGCACCAGTTCTCATTATTTTAACTTGAAACTCGTTTTACAAGTCCTATATATTATTCTAGGAATTATCATGCACTTATTATAATTTTCCGGGATACTTTTTCGGTACGCATTTATACCGAGTAGCAGAACCGGTATGTGCACTTTTCGTCAGAAAATCGACTTTCAGCATTCTTAATCACTTACTACATTTATTTAAGCCTCGTGATAATTATTAGGGTTAATTATGAAATTATTTCCTAATTTCACATAATTAATTAATTAACGGTGCGGGTTCTTACATCACCCCACATTTGGGGCACATATTTCAGGTTCAGGTAATGCGGGGGTTGAGACCTCTGGCGGCAGGAGGCCGGAGCTTAGCTGGTTATATATGTTGTATGCTGACATGACTGGATATTTGATGTTGTTTATGTTTTCTGTCTTTATACTAATATTTGAGTTGAGATTCTTTTGTGGGCTTTGTTGCCTTATTTGGTGAGCATGAGGTTTGTCCATGCCACATTGATGTTAGTACTTTTAGCTTGAGTTGTATAAACTATCAGGGTTGTCCGGTCTACGTGTTGTAGTTCCGTGACTAGAGACACATTTATGCTATATATATATATTGAGGTATTTCAGTTAGCTGTCTTTTGCAATTTACATACAGGCGATGTTTTATGAAATGAATTAAGTAATTCAACTTGGCTAATGATAATGGCGTCATAATTGAACAGAAAAAGATATTTCGCATTTTTAAATTAAGCGTGGCTTAATACGATGATATGATAACAAATCGGATATATACGGGGTGTTACATGTAACATAGAGAAAACATATATCTTCCCCCCCCCCTTTTCAAGGTGAAAAACAAGATAAGAAGAAGGATATAAGTTGATTTGTTTCAAATTTCAACATCAAAGTAGAAACATTACGATAATCATGGATTAATTCAAATGACGGCTTATTCGTGATTTTCGTTTTTTTGTAATTTTGTGATTTCTGTCGTGTTCAATTATATCAGATTCAAAAAATTTTGAAAATTATACTCATCCAGCAGAACCATCATGCCATTAATCATTGCATGGGTTTATATTCAAATTTAAATATAGGTTGTAAACTACGCAAATTGATAGAAAGAAAGGGGAGGAGAGAGAAAAAATGTGGGAGGCAATAAGAAGAAAGAAAGGAGAAAATGGTTTATTTTATTCTGAAAATCTCTACCGTTTGATGAGATTGTAATCTAACGGTGTTGAGAGAGGTAGGCAAATGTAGGCAAAATAAGATTAGGCAGAATAACTTATCCCGAATAATAATAATATGGTGGAGGAAATTCATCCAATTTTATAGTACAAATTCATCCTTTTAATGTCTCGTTATCTAAAATTATCATTATCAATTACTTATCAATATTTAAAGAATAATACAAAAAGATACAAATCTAAAAACGTCATATTAATTGCTTGAATATTTCAACGATAAACATAAAAAGTATAATTATGTAAAAAATACTTTATAATTATAGTTGTCTTCTTCTCTTTTCCTTTTTGTTTATACATATTATAGTTATCTTCAAATGCTTCTCAATTTATTATTATATAACTATAATGAACTTTAAATACTTATCATTACTATGTAATTTTTTAAGAAATAAGAAATATAAATTGAGAGTTACATAATATCAAATAATAATATTCTATTAAGAAATATCAAATAATAATATTCTATTAAGAAATATCAAATAATTATAATCGTTTTTTTTTTTTATTTTCCAATTAACAAAGTAATCCCTACCCTGTTAAGACTCAAAAGTTTCTAACCAAAAAGGGAAACAATTGTTTTATTAAAAGTTAACACTGAAAAGCCAAAAAGGGAAAGGAAAAAAAAAACTTGGTGCTCGTCCCATCATTGTCATTATTCCCTACCCCTGTGCTCGTCCCATCATTGTCAAGGGCATAACCGTCTACTAACATACGGTGTACAATTCAATAGCCATATTAGATAGCAAAAACATCATTTTAAGACTTTTAGGACAAAAATTGCTCATTTAATATTAATTAGATAAAGTTTTTTTCAATTAATACAGTCAAATCTGTTAATGATCTTGACGGACTGATGTTATGTAAGCACCACATAAGCAATTTCGTCGTAGTAAAATTTCAGAAGGTCATAACTTTTGATTCGAGTATTCAAATTAAATAATTTTTTTATCTCACATATAATTTTGTGATATTTACGTAATGATTCCTCATTTAACATATTTTATCTCCAACAAATATAGTTCGAATTTGTAATAATGGTACCACAATCACAAAAACTTTTAAATCTAGAAACTCTCAAGTTCTTTCTGAACTAACACCATGAGCTACAATACATGTCATTCATTGAATTATGTTATTTAATTCCTTTTCTTATTTTTCAACTATCCAATAATAACAAATAATGACAATGGTTTCCTCTCCATCATCGTGGACAGACAATAACGGATAACAATATTTCTTCTTACGGAAAGACATAAAGTACTGATCTTACTGTTGAAAAAATCGTTGCCTCAGAGGCTAACCGAGGGAAAACTTGACCAAGAAATTGATAACACATGCTATAGTTCATGGTGTTGGTTCGGAAAGAACTTAGGAGCTTTTGAGTTTAAACACTTTTGTGATTGTGGAACTATTATTGTAAATTTGAATTATATTTGTCGAAAATATTCCAAACGAGCTGTCATTGCATAGATCTCAAAAAGTTATGTGAAATTAAAAAAAATCATCTTATTTAAATACTCGAGTGAAAAATTAAAGCTTTCCGATGTTTTACGATGACATGACTGTCTATATGGTGCTGACATGACATTAGTCCCATCAAAATCATTGTCTCATAAGTACCAATGATGTATTTAACTACATTAATTTAAAAAAACTTATTCAATTAACTTTAATTCGACAATTTTTTTGCCCAATAATTTTAGAAATGTGCTTTAACCCATATTACTTAATTTCCTCAACATTGAACTACTTGTTGATGCTATAAATAGTAGGTTCTTGTGACTTAAATTCTCATGCCATTCACTACTTGCTAATTATCATTATGCCTACAACAGAAGGAGAGGAGAACCTAAGCCAAGAATGTAAGGAGCTTATTCTCTCTCTTCCCAAAGAGAAAGGTTGGAGAACACGATATCTCTATCTCTTTCAAGACTTTTGGTGCCAGCCGGCTGAAATCCAAGCAATAATCACTTTTCAAAAGCACTTCCAAGCCAATGACAGTGATGTTATTGTGGCCACCATTCCAAAATCTGGTACCACGTGGTTGAAAGCCCTTACCTTTGCCATTGTCAACCGACACCGTTTTTCCACCTTAGAGAACCATCCATTGCTTACTTCAAATCCCCATGACCTTGTTCCTTTCTTTGAATACACTGTTTATGGGGATACACATGACCAAGTTCCTGACCTCTCCAACATGACCGAGCCAAGACTCTTTGGTACTCACATTCCATTCCCTTCACTGGCCAAGTCAATCAAGGAGTCCAATTGTAGGATCATTTACATATGCAGGAACCCTTTTGACACTTTTGTTTCTACCTGGATTTTCATGAACAAAATCAAGCCAGAGTCTTTACCAGCATTCGCACTAGAGGAAGCTTTTGAAATGTATTGCAAGGGGATAATTGGGTTTGGTCCATCTTGGAACCAAATGCTTGGTTATTGGAATGAAAGCATAGCTAGACCACACAAGGTTCTGTTCTTGAAGTATGAAGACCTTAAACAAGATGTGAATTTTCATGTGAAAAGAGTGGCAGAGTTCTTGGGTTGTCCTTTCACTCGAGAGGAGGAAAGTAGTGGAGTGATTGAAAACATAATCCAGCTGTGTAGCTTTGAGAAGATGAAGGAGTTGGAAGCAAATAAATCTGGAACATTTGGTAGGAACTTTGAGAAAAATTACTTGTTTCGTAAGGCTGAAATAGGGGATTGGGTAAATTACCTTTCCCCTTCAATGGTAGAAAAATTATCCAAAATCATAGAAGAAAAGTTATGTGGATCAGGCCTTTCATTTAAACCGTACTCCTAGTGCTAGCAGGTGATGACATATTCACGTGATGATCGAGTGTGGTTATTATATATAATAAGTGGCTGCACAAGAACCATGCAAGTTGCTGCAATGTAGGGCAATAGTGTTGCTGTCGTTTTTACCTTTCCATAATAAATCGGTGTCAGAAGTCCCAGAGGCTATGTGGCTACCTCAATTATTTCCCTTAAGAATCAATTGGAAAAGAAATGTGTGTTAAGTTCTCATTAATTAAGGTTATTTCTTTCATTCAAGTGGCGTATTTACTTTATTATAAACTAAAATATTATTCAGCTTTAATTTTGCAAATTTATTATCTTTGATTATAGATTATGAAAAAAGTATTTATCCTCACATAACTTATATTATTTTATTCTCAAAAAAAAATAGGATCTATAATTTTATTTTATTTTGTCCATTCTTTCTCCTTTTTTATTTATTATTTTTCTCACTTAAAATGACACAACTTACATCTTTTAAAATGACACACTTTTCGCATATATTATTGCATAGTTTGTATAAACCTGAGTACCATCATTATTTATAACCAAAAGAAAAAAAAAAAGAGGTGCGCCATTTGATACATGCTCAACAATCTAAAAAATATAACAGGGGAGATAATGTGACTCATCACTTATGGGACGATTAGTAGAGAAAAAAAAAATTACTCGAAAAATATAATTACTAAAAAATATGGTAGAAAAGTAAGTTCGACAGGAAAGTTAAAAAAATGTTATTTGATTAGTCAAAATATTATCAGAAAAATTCAGTTAAATTTTATTAGTCTATGTTTGATTGAAGGTAAAATATTGATGGAAAAATGAGATGAAATTACCAAACTAACCCTTGACTAAATATAAAGAAGACTTTCTCTCTCCAGCTTTCTTTTGGCACGTTAGAATATTTGTATCCATTGATTTTTTTTTCTTTCTATTTTTTAGTTTGATGGGGTAATTAGAATACCACCCTCTGGATGGTATTTTGAAATGACAAATTTTTTCAATTTTACACACAAATTGAGATTGGTATATAAATTTGAATGATGAGCAAATTTTTTAAAACCTCCTACCAAATATAGTCAACTAAAAAACTCATCTCAACTAATTTTCAATCATTCTAAAAAAATCTCCCACCAAACATTTTCTTAGTGAATAAATGATAAGGAATCAAATAAGCGGGGTGCCTCAGTGGAACGCCACAACGAGAACAAATAAAAACAGAGTTGCTATTAATTTTACTTATTTTTTAAAAAAATTAGAAAACTATTTTAATTTTAAAAATCAATTTTTGAATATTGAGATCAATTTTTAAGAGTCTGATCAGGCCTATGGAAGCGCCGAAACTTAATACTAGTGCACCCTTTGATATATCTATTAAAAATATTGGTTACTTTAGATTAATCGCTCAAATTTTTAATAAACTAAAAAGTAATTACTTTTCTCGTAAATAAAATAAAAAAATCAAGTAAAACTAAACCAAAATAATTTATAAAATTAAATACACAAATTAATTTTTGACAGCATGGGTAAAAAATCTCTGACATATCTATTATTTTTTATAAGAAAAATTTGTAGATTTTCATTTTGAAAAAGAAATTATGAAAAAAGTAACCTTACTAAAATTTATTTTTTATATTCTAATTATTATTTTTCTTTTATCTCTTTATTTTTTATTTTTTACTTTCTGAAATAAAGATAATTAAGCAAATATTTTTTAATTTAACAATGGCTCTAATATTAAGGCAACATATCATTTTCTATTTAAGAAGAAGAAAACACAATTTATTGGTATAAGAGAATTTATAAATCTGTTTATTTTTTTTGAGAATCATGAATATGGCTCCCTTTAAAACTACTATAAATCTAAAAGTAACATCTAATACTAATTAAATGTGATAAAAGTAACATCGATTTATAAATATTAAATACTAACCACCACCACCTTCTGAGCAAAATACCCACTCAACACGTCAAACAACGTTCAAGACTACAACAATCACTTGTTTTTGTGTGTGCGGGGAAAATAAGACTACGCAATCATGGGCGTTGGGTAGAGGAGAAATTTTTTTTTTTATCCGAAAATTTTAATTTTTAAAAATATGATTTTTACATTCAGTTTACGATAATATCTGAAAATTAAAAATTTAAAAAAATTCAATTTACTGAAAATCTCCAAAAATATCGCGTACCAAACGGGCTCTCGAATTAAACAACACCTGGCTAGTCCACTTTTTGTTTTTGTTTTTTGTATAACTAGCTAGTCCACTTTCTTGATTGCCAAATCAGAGTAAAATCAAATGGACGAATAAACAAAGAACCAAATGACAAAGGGAATATTAACCAAATCTACTCATTAAGAAAAAAGTAATTAACAAAACACTGAGTTTAAACAGGCTAACTCTTTTGCCTTTTTCCTTTATTTTTCGTTCTTAAACACCAAATTCAAACCCAGAAACGAATATGAATTCCAAATATTGCCTTTGCATAATTGCTACATTTCTAACATAAAACCCAACACTAAACCCCAGATAAATGAAACTCAACTTCCCTCTTGTTTCTCCTATGAAGGTAGTAATGAAGTTTGGTAAAAAGAAAAAGTTTATTGCTTCATATATATGTGATTCCTTTGGAGATTCTAAAGTAAGTCAGCGTTGTGACTTGTGACTTATTGCTTGACTTTTTCACCACAGCTTGAATCATCCTGTGTTCCATATATATATATATATATATATATATATATATATATATATATATATATATATATATATACCTTAAGAAAGTATTTGTCAAATTCATCTTATGTGCTTCAAACATAATTTGTTCAATTAGAGAAAGATTTGTCATATGAAAAGAAGTTTGTAGCCATTATTAATAGGCAAGTCATGAAATTGCAGTTAAAGGTAAATTGCTTAGTTAAAGTCATATGGCATGACCATTCTAATGAGGAGGCGACGTGGGAGTTGGAAGAGTCCATATGTTATAAGTATTAGCTTATATTCCGTATTTTGGTTAGTTCTCTTAAAATTCACGTGAATTTTCTAAAGATGGGAAGAAATATAAGATCTTAATAATTGAAAATTTTCAAAAACATTAGGACAAGGCTTGACGTTATCATCACTACTAAAAAAACATCAATCATCAATAAGTGAAATATTTCTGAAACTAAGTAGACTAGTGACGGAATTAGGGATGGACAAAAATCCGTTAAATTATGGCTCGTCAGTAACAGGTTGAAACAGAATTATGATTTTGTCCCTAATAAAGACAAATTTTATGTAAGAACTCGCACCGTTAATTAAGGAATGTAATTAATTAATTATGAGATAATTCTATAATTGACCCTAATAATTATGATAAGGCTTAAATAATTATGGTAAGTGATTAATAATGTTGAAAGTCGTTTTTCTGACGAAAAGTGCAGATACCGGTTCTGCTCCACGGTATAAATGCGTATCGATGAAGTATCCCAGAAAATTATAATAAGTGTGGGAATATTCATAGAATAATATTTAGAACTGGAATTCAAAGTTTGAAGTTAAAATAATGAGAACTGGTGTCAAAACTGATACTAGCTAAGTAAAAGCGCGTACCGGAAAAGTACTGCGAAAAATAAAATAAAAATATGACAAATCCTAGAAAAATGGCTAGGTTCGGAATACCAAGTTTGAGATTAAAATGTTAAGCGTAGCTATTAATGCTAATACAATATGATTAAACTTAAGTGGACTATAAATAGCCACTTGCACACAACCCTAGGCTGATACTCAGCCATTTCTTCGTGGGGTTTTCTGGTTCTTGGTTGCTGCCCTTTTCTCCTCCATTGTCACCTTTTTTTCTTCACTTAAAACCTCCAAGTAATCACCTTTGTTCATTGTTCCTTCACCAAAATAGTGTAGGTGAGTGAGAGCAAGCTTGTCAGTGTGTGTGGTCTCACATTCTGAGTGTGTGTGGTTGCTATTTGGGTGATTTGAGGGCTACATTTCTGAGTTTGGTTTGTGAGGGGTCATCTTCTTGGCATTTTGAGCCTCATGGTGCCATTTTGATAGAGAAAAGTCCAACCTTGTAGTACATTTTCGTGTTCTTACAAAGTCCGAACCTTTGAGCATTGTTGGGAGCTCCAAAGAGGAGTCTTTTTCTGAATTTTGGACCTTGGAGGTATACCATGATCATAGCTTTTGTATTTATACCATGATCATCGCTTTTGTATTTTCATATATTAAGCATGTTTAATCAATTAAAAAGTAAAACTTGGATCATTTGAGTTAAGGACTATGTTTCTGAGTCTATAATATGTTAATGAACATCTGTTTAGGGAGTCATTGGACTCCCAATCGCATTTGAATGCTTAAAATTGGATTTATGCAGATGGCAGTTCGAAATTCTGCATTCTGTGTGATAAGTATTCGAATACTTTTCGTGTAGTATTCAAATACTTATCCCTTGGTAGTCGAATACTCCTTGCAAGAGTATTGGGATACTTTTCTGGAAAGAAAAGTATTCAGATACCTTTGAGTAAGTATTCGAATACTGGGTAGTATTCGAATACTGTTGTGTTTGTATTCGGATACCTGGTGGTATGGGGATACTGGGGGAAAAGTATTCGGATACCTTGTGGTATTCGAATACTTAAGTGAAAGTAGTCGAATACTTTCTGGAGACAGGGAGTATTCGAATACTCATCGAGGAGTATTCGAATACCTCCTGCAGAAATTGCATGAAATGACTTAAAATGAGTTGGAAAGACTTAATCACTTAATGGAATCTCAAGCAATGATTATTGATGATTAATTATTGTATAAACAGATTGTGATTGAGCTGTTTGTGGGCATTGAGCTAGTGTGAGCTTGGCTTGGATAGTTAGCTTGCGAGGTAAGCTTTTGTGTCCTCAGTTTTTTCATTGTTGGTTACACCATACCCCATGGGGGAATGGTTATATGCATGATTTGTTTTTCATGTTTTGATGTTTGTAATGCTTGTGAGCTGTTAAGTGCAAGGGCTTTATAA